GATTTTTTTTAAAAAAAATGGATCTGGAAACAAGCCAAGTCCGTTTTGCCAGCAGGTTGATGAGGCCACTTGGGTGTAAGATCAGGTTTGCTGTGAAATACATTTAATTTTTCTCTTCCTTTGTTTTGTTTGTTTGTTTTAATTCTTTTAATTGCCTTTGCATGTTATGACCTATATGCTATTTCCTAAGAATACTTACAAACAGTCCCAAAATGTAGGCCATTTAACAGATGAAGCTGAGCAAAGGAAATATGGCTTTTATGTGCGCCGATAGGCAAGAAAACCTTTGCAGTAAAATCAGCACATCAAAATCTGAACAGAACTTATTCTACTGAGGCTCTTCCTCGTAGCCACATTAATCTGTTTTCCTTCTGTCCTCGGCAATTTCAGGCAGCCTGTTTATTATCTCAATTTACATGGCAGCCCATCTCAAATTCATAACTCTGGGCTACTGACAATGTTTAAAGACACTTTTGTATTTAAACCTTCCGTTCAGTCGAATGTTTGATTCTCAGAGGCTGCCCGGAGAAGTAAGTCCCTGCGGTTTTCTTGGCAAAGCTTTTCAGAAGTGGATTGTCACTGTTTCCTCTTTAGGGCTGAGAGAAAGTGACTGGGCCATGGCAGGGGTGAAATGTAAAATTTGTTACTACCGGTTCTGTGGGCGTGGCTTGATGGGGGTGGGTGGGTGGGTAATGTGACTGGGTGGGCGTGGCCAACTTTTTTTTTTTTTTTTTAACTTTTCAAAGTTAAACTTTTCAGCCTTCCATCCTTCCGAGGTAGGTAAATTGAGGACCCGGATTGTGGGGGCAATAAGCTGACTTTGTAGAAACACCGCTTATGGGGGGGGGCAAAAGCCCTAATAAGCAGGTATATACAAAAAGAATGAAGGCTATTGCTATAAGTGCATTGTAAGCCGCCCTGAGTCTTCGGAGAAGGGCGGCATATAAATTGAACAAACAAACAAACAAATAAACAAATAAATAAATAAAGCATTTTTTCAGATCCCAGCTGAGTTGCCTGATCGGCAGAGAGGTATAGGTATTAGGTAATCCCCTAATCATCTTTGTTGCTCTTCTCTGCACTCTTTCTAGAGTCTCAATATATTTTTTATAACATGGCAATTTTTTTTTTTTTAATTTGATTTATATGCCGCCCTTCTCCGGAGACTCAGGGTGGCTTACAATGCGTTAAGAAATAGCCTTCATTCTTTTGTATATTTTTATACAAAGTCAGCTTATTGCCCCCACAAACTGGGTCCTCATTTCACCTACCTTAGAAAGGATGGAAGGCTGAGTCAACCTTGAGCCTTGGAGAGATTCGAACCAGCAGAAATTGCAGGCAGCTGTGTTAATAGCTTCAATCAAAACTGAATGCAGTATTACAAGTGTGGTTTTACCAAGGCATTATAAAGCGGTCTTAACACTTCACATGATCTTGATTTTATACCTCTGTTAATGCAGCCTAGGACTGCGTTGGCTTTTTTGGCAGCTGCAGCACATTGCTGGCTCATATTTATGTGATTGTCCACTAGGAATCCATGATCCCTCTCACAGTTACTACTATTGAGGGAGGTAACACCTATACTGTACCTGTGCATTTGGTTTTTCTTGTCTAAATGCACGGGTGGGCTGCTGAGGGTTCGCAGGGGTTCGGGAGAACCTCTAGCTAAGATTCTGTGCAGTTCAGAGAACCCCCAAATCCCGCTCCTGGCTGGCCCCTCCTACCCCACTCTGCCCCTCCCAGGAGTTCCTACGCAGCCCGTTTTAGATGCAGGTAAGTGCAGGGCGCGTGAGGAGACTTGGGGAGGGCAAAAAACGGGTCTGCCAGAAGTTCAGGAAGGCCTCCAGAGGGCCTCCGGAGCCTGGGGAGAGCGTTTTTGCCCTCCCAGAGGCTCAAGGAAAGCCTCCAGAGCCTGGGGAGGGCAATAATGCTCCCCTCCCGCTGTGGTGCAGGAGGCCGACTAGGCCATGCCCACCATGGTCATGCCCACCCAGCAACCAGGCAGAGAACCCCTTGCTAAAATTTGTGAAGCCCACCCCTAAATGTAGAACCTTACTTTTTTCTCCACTGAATTTCATTTTGTTAGATAGCGCCCAATGTTCAAGTCTGTCAAGATCCTTCTGTACCTTGAGCCTATGTTCTGGACAAACAAGAAAAAGTGAGAAGGAAACTCAAGATTGCCCCAACTTGATTCTCTTTGGTATAAGAAGGAGGGAAGAGGAAACACTGTCAGTTTTCCTGATATTTTTGGTGGCCAGGCCTTCCTGACCTGGCCTGCTTGGAAGGTCTGACACTGGATGACTTTATCGACAAATTGTTGGGCGGAAATATCTCAGCTGTTTTCCTGGTAGGGCATTCTTTATCCTAAACAAGACAGCTGGTTGACAGCCAACTAACTCAGGTTAGAGAAATAAGAGTCAAATGACAATAAATATTGTCATTTGACAGTAAATAGTGTCACTCCATTGATTTTGGATCTGGATCTTTGAAACAAAACTCAAAACGTTTTCTATTTTCAGCATGCTGCTTTTTTTCTTCAAGAAATAGCAAGAGATAATAACTTATGTTGTCAGCTTTCAGGAATGCATTGGACGTTTAAATAACACTAATGGCAGCCTTGGAAGGAAGTGTCAGAATTCAACAGCAACTTGACAAAATGGAATGAAACAACTAATTCTTTATATATTAAGATGTTCATTGTATAATGAAAGGCTTGATGACATCAGGATGGCTGCAAAACTATATTTTTGTGCCAGCATCTTCCAGAAGGCCTCTTTTGTAATAGTAGATAGAAAAATCAGAATGAGAATTGGAAATTACCTGGTTGTAAACCAAAGTGAATATCTACTGCAGTCCATATATTTGTGGACTTCGACTCCCAGAATTCCCCAGCCAGCATGGACTTTGTGGACAGAATGGACATTTGTGGACTTCAAATCCCAGAATTCCCTAGCCATGCTCCTAGCAAGTCCTTACAATTAGTCCTGGACTTACAATCGTTTGTTTAATGGCGGTTCATAGTTGCAGCAAAAAAAATTAAATTACAACCTGTCCTTGCAAATATGACTCGTACACCCCCTACGGTCACTTGATCCCAGTTCAAGCCCTTGGCAACCAGCTTGCACTTACAACTGGTTGCAGCCTTCTCCCAGTGGTCATGTGATCATGATTTGCAACCTTCCCAACTGGTTTTCCTGCAAAATATATCAATTGAGAAAGCTGGTTTCGCTTAACAACCACACGGTTCACTTAATGAGTGTAGTGAATTGCTTTACAACCGTGGTAAAATGGAATAAAATTGACTTACGACCACACTGGCTTAAGGCAGAAATTCCGATTCCAATTGTGGTCATAAGTCGAGACTACCTGTACATCTTTAAAGTTGCCAAGTTTGAAAAACACTGAATTAAGGAGTACTGTTATGGTATATAGATAGTCCTCAACTTACAACAGTTCATTTAGTGACCATTCAAGGTTACAACGGCACTGAAAAAAGTGACTTATGACCTTTCTCATAGTGACGACTTTAGTTATAGTCATGTGATTGAAATTCAGATGTTTGGCAACTGGTTCATATTTATGACGTTTGCTGTGTCCCCAGAGTCATATAATCACTTTTTGAGACCTTCTGACATGCAAAGTCAATGGGGAAGCCAGATTCACTCCACCACTGTGTTACTAACTTAACAACTGCAGTGGTTCACTTAACAACTGTGGCGAGACAGGTCATAAAATGGGGGAATGCTCACTTAACAAATGCCTCATTTAACAACAGAAATTTTGGGCTCAATTGTGGTCGTAAGTTGAGGACTACATGTATTTGTCCTGCTTATGGTCTTCCCTGTGGCCCCACCCCACACATGCTCACGCGGACCCCCGCATGAACCCACCCCCTGTGCATACACACATGGCCTTCTCATGTGCCCCGCCCCATGCATGCACATGCAACCCCTCCACATTCACCCTGTCCCCCGCGCATGCGCGGCAGAGACCTGAAGACCAGCAGGCGGGCGGCATACACACATGCGTGGCAGAGCTGAGCTGGGGCGATGGCTCACGTGCCCACAGAGAGGGCTCTGCGTGCCACCTGTGGCACGCATGCCATAGGTTCGCCACCACGGCCCTATACCAGTGGTGGGTTGCTCCCGGTTCGGCCCGGTTCGGCCGAGCCAGTAGCGGTGACGCTATTATGTCACCGAACCGGTTCTCTTTCTTCGGGAGCTGGGCCCTCCCGCCCCCGCGCTATTCCGACCTTATATTTCTTCTTTTTTCGCCCAGCTGAGAGGTGCGGCAGAGCGGATTGCCACACCTCATCTGGGCAGATTCGCAACGTGCTTGCGCAAAGTGCAAGTTTGGTGCGCAGGTGAGCGAAGTGAGCATGAGTGCAGTGATCACACGCAAAGCGCACGACCGAAAAGGCAATTGCGCGCAAAGCACGTGCACAAAGAGAACCGGTAGTAAAGCCGGTTAGAACCCACCCCTGCCCTATACCATTTCAGACAAACGGCTATCCAGTCTCTTCTTCAAAACCTCCAGTGATGAAGCACCCACAACCTCTGAAGGCAATCTCTTCCACTGGTTAATTGTCATCCCTGTTAGGAATTATCCTTAATTCCAGGTTGCTTCTCTCCTGCATTAGTCTCCATCCATTGTTTCTTGTCCTGTCCTCTCTGGTGCTTTGGAAAATAAGTTGACCCCCTCCTCTTTGTGGCAACCTCTCAAATACTGAATTACTGCTATCATGTCCCATCCCCCCCAGTCCTTCTTTTCTCTAGACTGGCCAAACTTCCAAATTATTTTCGTGTGTAAAACCTGAGAATGAAAGTCCTATTTTGTCTGATAGGAGCAAATTCGGCAGAGTTTGGGTGCGTACGAAGAGAATACCAAAAATATACAATTTAAAGGAAGGGCTGTTAAGACACCACTATTTAAACAGCCCCCTCCCACCCTTCCTCTGAAGTTTAATTGCAGCTGCCTTCTTGGGTTACTTTATTTTTTAGGTCAGGAGTGCTTGCCTAATCTCACTGGGACAGGCCGACGTAGACAAACAGCTTCTATAATCTCCACTTGGACTGGCCCAGCTTCAATTAACAAGAGCCGCTTTGTTGATTTGTCAAACCACTGAGCGATTTACGAGGGGTTCCGCTTTGGAGAAGTTGGTTGAAAAACCTCTCAGTACAAAGCTGCATTCAAGCAAGGAAGGTATGTTTATTTTATTTTATTTTTAAAAAAATTCCTATGCTTGCTTTCACATTTTGTTTCTTCAGCTTGAATTATTGGGAGGTGCCTGTCTGCTGGGATAGGAATGAATCATTAATGTATGATACAGGTAGTCCTCAACTTATGACCACAATCCAGCCCAAAAGCATTTATCTTGCTAAGCAAGACATTTGTTAAGTGAGTTTTGCCCCATTTTACGACCTTTCTCACCGCAGTTGTTAAGTGAATCACCTGCAGTTGTTAAGTTAGTAACACGGTTGTGAAGTAAATCTGGCTTCCCCCATTGACTTCGTTTGTCAGAAAGTCACTAAAGGTAAATCACATTATCTCGGGACACTGCAACCGTCTTAATTAGGAGTAATTTGCCAAGTCTCTGAATTTTGATCATGTGACCGTGGGGATGCTGCGACAGTCATAAGTCGGAAAATTGGTCATAAGTCAATTTTTTCCGATGACGTAACTTTGCATGGCCATTAATTAAAATGTTGTAAATCTAGGACTTTCTGTATGCATTAAATTATTATTTGACAAATGTCTTCATTTATTTATTTATTTATTTATTTATTTATTTATTTATTTTTTATTATTTATTTATTTATTTATTTATTTATTTATTTATTTATTTATTTATTTATTTTTTATTTATTTATTTTATATACCGCCCTATTCCTGAGGGACTCAGGGCAGTGAACAGCGAACGATAAAAATACATGTAATACAAACGTTAAATATATATATATATATATCCTGCCTGTTATGGAGTAAACAGTACAGGGGAAATAAATTAACAGCAAACAATTTAAAAGCCAGTGGGGCTGGTCTTTCATTTCTGAGGGGCATTCAACTCTCACCCAAATTTCTCTTCTTCCCTTGGCAGAGGTTGATTTAAAGCAGGGGTCTCCAACCATGGCAACTTTAAGACTTGCGGACTTCAACTCCCAGAGTTCCTCAGCCAGCAAAGCTGGCTGAGGAATTCTGGGAGTTGAAGTCCGCAAGTCTTAAAGTTGCCATGGTTGGAGACCCCTGCGTTAAAGGGCTTTGTTTTGGTAGATCGGGTAGCATTTCTAGTGCCTGGTTTAGGAGGAAGACCTGTTGAGGTAAGTGTGTGTAGCTAGTCCTCAACATACAAATAGTGATTGTTCGAAGTAACAACAGCATTGAAAAAAGTGACTTACAACCATTATTCACACTTACAACCATTGTAGCATCCCCATGGTCGCATGATCAAAATTTAGATATTTGGTAACTGGTTCATATGCAATATAGTCGCTATGTCCCAGGCAGGGGTGGGTTCTAAATTTTTTTACTACCGGTTCTGTGGGTGTGGCTTATTTTGTGGGCGTGGCTTGATGGTCATATGACAATTCTTTAGGATTTAGCAGAGGTACTGGTCTACCAGGCTTTTAACTGCTTGCAGAGCTGTACTGGTCTACTCATTTATTTTTGCAGGCACCGGACTACTCATTTGTTTTTGGAGGCACCAGTCTACCACCACACTGCCTTTTAACACTGATCAGCTGTAGGGCGGCCCTTTGAAGCCCCACAGCAAGAGTTTAGTTTTTTTCCTTCTAGCCGATCAGCTGGGACTCGGGAGGCAGCAATAGATTGGGGGCGGGGCCAAATAAAAGGTAAGAATAATGCAGTGGGGGCGAGAGGGCCCAGCTCCCGAACAAAGAGAACCGGTTCGGTGACGTCATATCGTCACCGCTACCGGCTCGACCGAACCAGGCCGAACCGGGAGGAACCCACTATTGGTCCCGGGGTCATGTGATCCCTTTTTGCGACCTTCTGACAAGCAAAGTCAATGCAGAAGCCAGATTCACTTCACAACCGTGTGACTAACTTTACAACTGCAGGGATTCGCTTAACAATTGTGGCGAGAAAGGTCGTAAAATGGGGCAAAACTCACCTAACAACTGTCTCGCGTAGCAACGGACATTTTGGGCACCGTTCTGGTCATAAGTCAAGGACTACCTGTAGCATTTTGCTCCTTAGGGCAGAGAGAATTCTTTGATAACCTTAAAAATGGTTAGAAATTTCCCTTGGCTTTCCATATCCTTTCCTTGAAGATTAGATGCAGGCATCAAATGCAGGCAGTGTTCCAGTATCTCAGGGGCTGCCACAAAGAAGAGGGAGTCAAGCTATTCTCCAAAGCACCTGAGGGTAGGACTAGAAGCAATGGGTGGAAACTAATCAAGGAGAGAAGCAACCTAGAACTAAGGAGAAATTTCCTTAGAACAATTAATCAGTGGAACAACTTGCCTCCAGAAGTTGTGGATGCTCCAACACTGGAAGCTTTTAAGAAGATGTTGGATAACCATTTGTCTGAAGTGGTGTAGGTGTAAGTGGTGCCTGGGCAGGGGGTTGGACTAGAAGACCTCCAAGGTCCCTTCCAACTCTGTTATTCTATTCTAATTATTATGTTTTGGACACATTATCTGAAGTTTCTAATGCTGGGAAAGGTAGAAGGAAAAAGAAGAAGAAGCGCAAGGTGAATGGACTTGGTTACCATGGTGATGGGTAGGCCCTTGGAAGACCTGAAGGAGCAGGTTGTCCTGGAGAAAATCTATCTTTATGGATCCAGCACCAGCGTAATGGTTATGAATGTGGGAACTGTTGGTTATGAATGAGGGAATACACTGCAGAGGTGTCAAACTCTATTTCATTGAGGGCCGCATCAGAGCTGTGTTTGACCTCAGGGTGTGTGTGTGGCTGCTGGGGGCATGGCCAGGGTGGGCGTGGCCAGCTCGACGTCACTCGTGGCAGGGGCGCCTATGGCGGTCCAAGCGCTTTGCCAGCGAAAACGGGCTCCCAAGCTCTGTTTTCGGCTGCGACGGCCTCCTGCAATCCTCTGCCAGCAAAAATGGAGCTCGGGAGGGGCACATGTGGTCCTCCCGAGCTCCATATTCACTGGCACAGACACCTTGGGCTGGTTCTTTACTGTTTTCGGGGCGGCCCTGTGGGCCAGATCTAAATACCCCACAGGCCGGATCCGGTCCACAGGCCTTGAGTTTGACACCCCTGGAATACAGGTAGTCCTTGACTTACAACCATTTAGCGACCATTTGAAGCTCCATCCCAAATGAAAAAAGTGGCTTAAAACCAGTCCTCACACTTGTAACCCTCATAGCATCCACACAATTACATCATCAAAATGTGGGTGCTTGGCATGTCAAGGCTCCGACTTATCAGCCCAAGTAAATCAGAACTCTGAGGCTTTCGTTTTCCTCAAAGAATTCCTTTATTGGGCACATCGTCTCGGCACACTTAGTGTAAAATCAACTCTGACTCTTTCCCGTGGTTTCAGCATAATTCAAACCAGCAACAACCAGCGGTGAAATGCTCCCGGTTCGGACCGGATCGCCCGATCCAGTAGCGATGGCGGCGGGTGGTTCAGAGAACCGGTAGCAAAAATCCCTGAGCAGCCGCCCCCCCCCCCCTTTGCCCAGCTAAGCCGCACGATCATCAGGGGCTTTTTTTTTTTTTATTTTTAAAAAGCATTTTTTCTACAACCTCTTCCAACGAAAAAATGCTTTTAAAAGTAAAAAAAAAAAAAAGCCTCTGATGATCGCGCGACTCAGCTGGGATCGTCAGAGGCTTTTCAAAGCATTTTTTTCTGCAACCTCTTCGGCCAAAGAGGTGGTTAAAAAAAATGCTTTGAAAAGCCTCTGACGATCCCAGCTGAGTTCCCTGATCGCCAGAGCCTTTTAAAGCCATTAAAAAAAATGCTTTGAAAAGTTTAAAAAAATTTAAAAAGTTGGCCACGCCCACCCAGTCACATTACCCCACCACCACCAAGCCACGCCCACAGAACCGGTAGTAACAAACTTTACATTTCACCCCTGGCAACAACCCTTCCCCCCAAGCGTCACTTGTCACGTTGAGCAATTAGCTTGGTTGGCTATGGTTTTTTTTCCTTATCTTTGAACTTCCTAACAGATTCCTACCAGACATTTCTCCCTTGCCCTGCCTTATGGAGGAAGGCATAAAGGAACATTTGTAATCTGACAGCTGTTCATTCCAAATCCCTCATAGCCAGAAATAAACTAGAATGAAAAAAAGGGATACAGAAGAAGGGATAATTCTCCAGTCAAATTCCTTGTTGCAAAACAAGTTACAAGTACAGAAGTGAATGGTCAAAAAAGAACTACCTAACCTGAGGTGTGCTAGGTTGCATCCATGATTATGTAAAGTTCTCCTTAAATTTACATTACAGGTAGTCCTCGACTTACAACAGTTCATTTAGTGACCATTCAAAGTTACACTACACCGAATAAAGTGTTTTTCACGCTTACAACCGTTGCAGTGTCCTGTAATCAAAATCCGGACACTTGGCAACTGACTCCTATTTATGACGGTTGCAATGTCCCAAGGTCATGTGATTCCCTTTTACGACCCTCTGACCAGCAAACTCAATGGGGAATCCAGATTCACTTAACAACCATATGACTAACTGAACCACAGCAGCGCTTCAGCTAACAAGTGTGGCAAGGAAGGTTGTAACGTGGGACAAATCTCATTTAACAGACGTCTCACTTAGCAACACAGCAATTTGGGGCTCAATTGTGGTCATAAGTTGAGGACTACCTAAATGGTTTTAGTGTATTGTTTTTCTTTTGTTTTTAATTGTTACCACTCAGACATGCATTTGGGTTACTATGCAAATTTAATAAATATTGTGCTTTTTTAGGGTGGGGGGAAACAGACCGGAGGGCTAACAGTGCAAATAAGCAGATGGAGGAGACAGTGAAAAATGGAGCAATTGAAACAGATCAGTCAGATTGGGTTTTTTTTAAAAGTTTCATATTTTGAAAAATGAATGTTAACGTTTTCTTTCTCTCCTCTTCTTCTTCCCAGGAGGCTCAGTTCTCTTCCTAGCTAGCTTCTGAGCTTGGTATGGATAATGGTAGAGCGGTGGAAGGTCAAGTAGGCTTAAAACAGAATGATGCGGAGATCAGAGTCCATGGACGTATTCTTCCAGAGGTGAGCAGTTTGTGTCTTGCTGTGTCATAACGGTAGTTGGCTGTGAAACAAGACAATGCAGCTAATCCTCGATTTACAACAATTTGTTCGGTAACCGTTCGAAGTTACAGTGACACTGAAAACATGACTTAGACCCATGATGGTGAACCTATGGCACGCGTGCCCGAAATGGCATGCGGAGCCATCTCACCTGGCACGTATGGCGGCGCCCGTTCCTCTTCTGGGTTTCTGGTGTGCATGCGCGCACGATGTTCAGCTGGCCTTTGTGCTTGCATCAGAACTGGCCTTCCATTTTCCGGCGTGAGCACGTGCGCTGGCCAGCCAACTGATTGGCGCGAGTGCCTGCATGGCAGTAACCTGAAGACTTGCCAGGAGTAAAGAATAAGAAACCGCAGTTAAGAAGAAGAAACCTGAAGAAGCTGCAACAGAGGTGTGATATTCAGTAGGTTCTGACCAGTTCTGCAGAACTGGTAGCAGAAATTTTGAGTAGTTCGGAGAACCCGTAAATATCACCTCTGACTGGCCCAGTGGTGGGTTCCTCCCGGTTCGGCCAAACCGGTAGCGATGACAATATGACGTCACCGAACCGGTTCTCTTTGTTCGGGAGCTGGGCCCTCCCGCCCCCCCTCCCCACGTTATTCTTACCTTTTATTTGGCCCCGCCCCCAATCTATTGCTGCCTCCCGAGTCCCAGCTGATCGGCTAGAAGGAAAAAAACTGTTTAAACTCTTGCCACTGGGCTTCAAAGGGCCGCCCTACAGCTGATCAGTGTTAAAAGGCAAATGAGTAGACCGGTGTCTCCAAAAACAAATGAGTAGACTGGTACAGTTCTGCAAGCAGTTGAAAGCCTGGTAGACCAGTACCTCTGCTAAATCCTAAAGAATTGTCACATGACCATCAAGCCATGCCCACAAAATAAGCCACGCCCACATAACCGGTAGTAAAAAAAAATGAGAACCCACCCCTGGACTGCCCCCCCATCTATTCTCTGCCTCCCAAGTCCCAGCTGATCAGGAGGAAATGGGGATTTTGCAGTAACCTTCCCCTAGAGTGGGGTGGGAATGAAGATTTTTACAATATCCTTCTCCTGCCATGCCCAGCAAGCCACACCCACCAAGCCACGCCCACAGAACTGGTAGTAAAAGTTTTTGAATCCCACCACTGAATTGCAAGTACATTCTCTGTTGCTCGCACACCTCCTGTTCCTCGTCTTGGCGCAGACAAGCACGCACAGTGCTCCCTTTTGCCATCATTGACTTAAGACTGTTTTTCACACTTACGACCATTGCAGCATCCCCATGGTCACCTGATCAAAATTTCAGTCCCTTGGCAATTGGCTCATGTTTATTTTATTTTTTATTTATTTATTTGATTTGATTTCTATACCGCCCTACTCCCGAAGGACTCAGGGCGGTGCACAGCCAAACAATAAAACACATACATACAAAATTTAAAAGTAGAATAAAATCAAATTAAATAATTTTGGCCCCGACAAATTTAAAACCCCAAACTTTTTAAAACCAATTTTAAAATTGAATGTATAAAATACTAAAAGATATTTAAAAATTAAAAATCTTTTATAAAAGAGGGGGAAAATTAGGCCAGGCCGGCCTGGTGAAATAGTAAGGTCTTTAAAGCGCGGCGGAAGGTGCGCAGATCCGGGATCCTCCGTATCTCTGGGGGGAGCTCGTTCCAGATAGTAGGTGCTCCCACAGAGAAGGCTCTCCCCCTGGGGGCCGCCAGTCGGCATTGTTTTATGACGGTTGCAGTGCTCCAGGATCTTGTGATCCACCTTTTGCGACCTTCTGACAAGCAAAGTCAATGGGGAAAGCCAGATTCACTTCACAATGGTGTTAGTAACCTAGCAACTTCAGCGATTCGCTGGGAAAGGCAAGTTGTCAAATATGGCAAAACTCATTTAACAAATGTCTCACTTAGCAACAGAAATTATGCGCTCAATTGTGATTGTAAATTCAAGGATTCCTTGTAAAAAAGTCAAATGAGCAACAAGCTTAAAAGTAGCAGCAAAATAACTTTTTTTAGAAAAAAAAAGTCAGTATTTCTCCCTTAATACTATATGCAGGGTTTATTACCATTGCTTAACAGACAGCACATAAAGAAACAGGTGTTTTATGCAATTTATGCCTTGGGAAATAAACGTTTCAGTGCTTTCATTACTGAAAAGGCTTTGTGGAAATTAATAGTGTTGACATCCAAAAGGCAGCATTGCAACATGGAATACGGCTCCTGAACAAAGAGACTACCAAAGCCAAAGCTCCTATACAGGTAGTCCTCGACTTATGACCACAATTGAGCCCAACATTTCTGTGGCTAAGTGAGACATTACTTAAGTGGGTTTTGCCCCCATTTTACAACCTTTCTTGCCACAGTTGTTAAGTGAATCACTGCAGTTGATAAGTTAGTAACACAGTTATTAAATGAATCTGGCTTCCCCACTGACTTTGCTTGTTGGAAGGTTGTAAAATGTGAACACGGGACCTGGGGACACTGCAACCATCATAAATATGAACCAGTTACCAAGTATCTACATTTTTATCATGTGACCCATAGGGACGCTTCATTGGTCCTAAGTACGAAAAACAATCATGAGTGGCTTTTTTTCAGTGCCATTGTAATTTTCAGCGGTCATTAAATGAACTGTTGTAAGTCAAGGCCTACCTGTATGTCCCCTTCTCTTGTTCCTCTCTTATGAGTTGAATCTCATGGGAACAAGTTGGAATCTGACACTTACTCTACATCGGGGTCTCCAACAAGGGTGAAATGCTCCTGGTTTGGACTGGATCGCCTGATCCGATAGCGATGGCGGCGGGTGGTTCGGAGAACCGGTAGCAAAAATCCCTGCGCCCCCCCACCACCACCACCACCATGCCCAGCTGAGCCACACGATCATCAGAGGCTTTTTTTTTAACTTTTAAAAGCATTTTTTCTACAACCTCTTCCGACAAAAAAAATGCTTTTAAAAGTAAAAAAAAAGCCTCTGATGATTGCGCGGCTCAGCTGGGATCGTCAGAGGCTTTTGAAAGCATTTTTTTCTGCAACCTCTTGTCCGAAGAGGTGGTAAAAAAAATGCTTTGAAAAGCCTCTGACGATCCCAGCTGAGTTGCCTGATCGGCAGAGGCTTTTCAAAGCATTAGAAAAAATGCTTTGAAAAGTTTTTTTTTTTTTAAAAAGTTGACCATGCCCACCCAGTCACATTTCCCCCCCCAAGCCACGCCCACAGAACCGGTAGTAACAAATTTGACATTTCACCCCTGGTCTCCAACCTTGGCAACTTTAAGACTTGTGGCCTTCCAATTCCCAGAATTCCCCAGCCAGCATAGCTGACTAAGGAATTCTGGGAGTTGAAGTCCACAAGTCTTAAAGTTGTTAAGTTTGGAGACCCCTGTTCTATATGAATGACTCTCTGAGTTTGTTCTCACTTTTTTGTTTTTGTTTTTTGTTGTTGTGCATCCCAATCCTGCTGAAGACCCAGACTCAGGTCAGTTGAAGACTTACTGGCTGCATTCATGTCATATGCAAAGCTTGTTTGGGTTATCCTTGATTAGGTATTTTGTGGCTTAGCATGCTGAACAAAACTTGCCTGTGTCATTATAATTCATTAATCCAGTGGGAAGTCTTTGTGTAAATGATTAAGTATCCCCCATTAGAAAATATTGCATGAAGTTCTCTTACCAGCGTAAACGCAAAGGAAACCCTATCACTTATTTCCATTTTAAAAAATTGTCTACCATTGCTTATGAGAGAAAAAGTCCCTGCTGCTATTTTTTTCTGTTGCATGATTCGATCTCTTAAAAATGTTCTGCTTTTTGTTTCCAGAGTCCTGAAGAGAGAAAAAGTGTGATCAACTCCTTGGTGTCTGGGGCATTGGCTGGCGCTGTGGCCAAAACAGCCGTGGCACCGTTGGACAGGACGAAAATCATTTTCCAAGGTAGGCATGAGAGTAGGGGGGAGAAATGTGGGAGTCTCCCTATCTTTCTCACTTATGGAAGCAATCCTAGTTTCTGTTGGGACCCAGGCCCAAGTAATTAGTATTAAATACAAACAGTTAGAAAACAAACAGATTTTATTAGAACAGCTGAGAATTAACTCATTCTCATTCAGCATAGTCCAAACTAAATTAAAGCAAATTCTTCAAAACACCATTTCCACAGTTTATCACCGACCTTGGGATAATTAGGCAAACTGCCAAAGGCTTTTCTTGGCAAAAGTTCAGAAGCAGAAGACGCCGACAAGAAATGAATACAGTGAAACAAGAAGCAATTCTCTCAACGTTGTTTTCCGGCAAAGAGGCCAAGAGCCATTGCTGGTCTTTTAAGCCTTATGGGAGGGGCCAATCATCTCTTGGCCTTACTCCTGAGTGGTCCTCTCTGCTTTATCTGCTCCTGCCTTCTGGCAGCTCTTCTCATACGTGCACTAGGAACAGGCTCCTCCTGTTCCTCTGCCTCTCTACTGTCAGCCTCTGGAGGCTCCGCAGTCCACACATCACTCCCCGATGGCCCTGGCCCCATCTCTGCCTCCGACACAGAGCCCTCATCCGGGCCTTCCCCAGCCTCCAGGACTGGTCCATGTTCTTCCTCAGCCTCATTGCTGTCCAACTCTGCTGCCAGCTCCGCAGGCTGCGGGTGGACCACAACACTTTCCTCTAGATCAGGTGTTAAGGCCCGGTGGCCGGATCTGGCTTGTGGGGTGCTTAGATATGGCCCACGGGACCGCCCTGGAAACAGCGAAGGACCGGCCTGTGGCAGAGGTGCCTCTGCCAGCCTGTGGCAGAGGTGCCTCTGCCAGCAAAAATGGAACTTGGGAGGCTTTCGCTGGCAGAGGGTTGCAGGAGGCCGTCGTAACCGAAAACAGAGCTCGGGAGCCCATTTTCGCTGGCAAAGTGCTCAGGCCACCACAGGCGCCCCCGACATGAGTGACGTCGAGCTGGCCACACCCACCCTGGCCCCCGAGATTAAACACAACCCTGATGCAGCCCTCAATTAAATCGAGTTTGACACCCCTGCTCTAGGTCAGTGTTTTTCGAATTTGACAACTTTAAGATGTGTGGACTTCAACTCCCAGAATTCCCTAGCCATCATGCTGGCTGGGGAATTCTGGGAGTTGAAGTCCACATATCTTAAGGTTGCCAAGTTTGAAAAACACTGATGTAGATGCATGGACTTCAATTCTCAGAATTCTCAGTGGTAGTCTGGTGGTTGAGGAATTCTGGGATTTGGAATCTGTAGATCTGCACGGACCCAAATTTGGACAAACAACCGCATTTATTCCTGGCTTGTCATTGCTCTAACCAGCTTGGAAGCCAGATTTGACTGCTGCCTCTGAAGTCTGGCTTGATAATGAAACTAAATGGCAGGATTTGGAAAGTCTGCATGCTTTTCTTTTTTCTTTTTTTAAAATCCTGGCTAATTTGTAATTAGTTTGTTCAACCATCTTTGCAGAAGGCCTTTGACAAGCCAGGAATAAGAAGATTTGAGGTGTAATGGTTTGTGGAAGCAAGGCCAGAATATTCTTTAAAGGCGTTTAGATTCTTCATTCAAATGCTTGAGAGCCGAGGTGGGGAACCTTGGCCCCTTTGGTCCACCCTGTAGACTTCAACTCCCAGAATTCCCGAGCCAGCATGGTTCCCCTGCATTAGAGCATATCTAATAATGTTGCTTCCTGTTATTTTGGACATGCGGTGATAGTTTATAATTCACAGCAGGGATGGGTTCTACTTACCTTTACTACCGGTTCGCATCACATCGCACATGCACAGATCACCTTTCCGGGTCAGTGGGCGGAGCCTCCCGCCGGTTCTACTACCGGGTCCGAACCGGCGGCAACCCACCCCTGTTTCACAAGTTTCTTTGGATCCACTTCTTTGGTTTCTTTTTTCTAATATTCAGATAAAACTTTCTTTCCTATAACTTAAATCGATTATTCGCTAGCCTACATTGTGGGATGGTACAGAAGGAGTAAAGACCACTTCTTATATCATCCTTTTAGGGATTTGAAGAATGTTCTCTTAAGACTAAATGTTCTCACTTCCTTCAATCTATTTGCAGGACTTGGTTTTTGATCTCTTCTATTCTCTCAATCTGTTCTAGTTGTCTGACTCCTCCTTAAAATATGGAAACCAGAGTTGGACATACTGTTTGAGATGGGATTCTGATTAATGTGGAACAGAGACAAATTTGAATTCCTCCCGTCATTGATAAGCATGTCCCTCCATCTTCTCATCTTTGCTTGTAATAAAAAAGTTGAAGAGCACAGGGCTAAGGATTGGGTCTTATTGCAGCCTACACCAATGTTTCTTAGTGTTCTGTCCCCAACCACACGCACACACACCAACAGACGTTCAAGAGTTAAAAGACCAAACCAGCCGGCAAAATCCTTTTCCTTAAGATAACGGAACTTGGCAACAACCTAGTGGCTGCCTGCCAAGAGTTTATTATTTACGAAGAGAAGAGATAACTTCTCCCCACTTCTGATACATCAAAAGAAACAGCTCAATAATTACAGAGTTAATCAAGTCCAGAGATAATCCAGCTAAGTCTTATAGCAAAAGTCCGGCAATGCAGAATGGCGTGGAAGCTTTCAGGTTTGTTCGTTACAAGGTTTGACTGGCCACCACACTCCCTTTTATATCCTGTGGAGTGTGGTCCAGTGACTCAGCCTAATCTCAGGCACGCCTTTTCTTCTGTTGCGCGCGCTTATCTCTGCGACGCTGGCGTGGATCCAGCCAAGACTCATTACTCTCATCACTGTCCACCTGTGGCTGCGTGGACGTGCTTGGCCCCGGCCCTATCTCTTGCCCTTCGGCGGACACCGAAGGCATTGCCAGAGAGGAGGGTCCTGGAGAGGGAGGCCTTGCCAACTCCTCTTCTTCACTTTCGGAGTCCTCTCCTGCCGATGACACAGGCTCAGGTAACGGAGCCACAACACTTAGCCTTGGTAACTTTAAGATGTGTGGACTTCAATTCACAGGTGGGCTCCTGGGGGTTCAGCAGGGTTCGGGCAATCCTCTAGCCAAGGATTGCCGGAGTTTGGGGAACCCCCAAATGCCACCCCTGGCTGTCCATACCCATCCCATCTTGCCCCTCCAGGAGTCTCCATACGGCCCGTTCATCATTCCAAGTAAGTGCAGGGGCCGTGTGGAGGGTCTGGGAGGGCAAAAAACAGGCCTAACGGAGGTTCCGGAAGTCTGGAAACGGGCCTATTTCTGGCCTCTGGACCCCAGGGAAAGCTGTTTTTGCCCCCCTTGGAGGCTCAAGGAAAGCCTCCGGAGCCTGGGGAGGGTGAAAAACGCCACCACTACCCCGCCATAGTGCAGGCGGCTGACTAAGCCACGCCCACCATGGCCACACCCACCCAGCAACGGGGCAGCAAACCCGTTGCTAAAGGATCTGAAGCCCACCCCTGCTTCAATTCCCAGAATTCCCCAGTCAGCATTCTGGGAGTTGAACTCCACACGTGTTAAAAGTTGTCAAGGTTGAGAAACACTGGCCTACACCATCCCTCCCTCCAGGCTAATGCGGTCCTGTTGAGACAGTAGGTGCCAATTCGCAAAGGCAGCCAAGATGGTTCTCTTCCTTGGTTGGGGTGTCCCAAACCAGAGACTGCCTGAGTGCAAAGATGCTGGTTTGTGGCATGGATTAGTCTGCCCATAGATTTCTCAGTTGCAGTGCTGATGTGTGTATGACTTCTTTTTTTTTCCTCTCTCTCTTTTCAGTGTCGTCGAATAGATTTTCTGCTAAGGTAAAGTGAAACCTCCTTCTCTTTTCTAAGCTTCATTGCAGGTTGAGGGAAGGATTTAATCTCACTGAATTGCTCCCATGGGTTGCTCTCACCTTTATTATTATTATTATTATTATTATTATTATTATTATTATTATTATTATTATTATTATTTATTCAATTTATATCCCGCCCTTCTCCTAGTGGACTCAGGGCGGTGCACAGTCAGAACTAAAACACATATCAATACAAAATTTAAAATTATTAAAAGAATTAAATAACTGTGGCCCAAAAATTTAAAACATTGAAAACTAAAACCCATTTGACAATTTAAAAAACTAAAAAAGACTAAAGAAGTGGGGAGGGGGTGTTCATGCCAGCCCTGCTTGATGGAAAAGAAAAGTTTTTAGGGCACGGCGAAAGACCCGGAGATCCGATATCCTTCGTATCTCCGGGGGCAAATCGTTCCAGAGGGCAGGAGCTGCCACAGAGAAGGCCCTCCCCCTGGGGGTCGCCAGCCAACATTGCCTGGCCGACGGCACCCTGAGGAGTCCCTCTCTGTCAGAGCGTACTGGTCGGTGGGAGGCTATCGGCGGCAGAAGGCGGTCCCGCAAATACCCAGGTCCCATGCCATGGAGCGCTTTAAAGGTGGTGACCAACACCTTGAAGCGCACCCAAAAGACCACTGGAAGACCACCCGGAAGACCACCTTAACATCCCTCTCCTTTGCCCCTCCTTCTAGCCTCTTAAGAGCCAATGAAAATTAGTCAAAACAGAACTACTTTTAAACGGTAGGCACATGGATGTGCCGTGGTGGCGCAGTGGTTAGAATGCAGTCCGCAGGCTACTTCTGCTGACTGCCAGCTGCCAGCAGTTTGCAGTTCGAGTCTGACCGGTTCAAGGTTGACTCAGCCTTCCATCCTTCCGAGGTGGGTAAAATGAGGACCAGGATTGTTGGAGGGCCAGAGGCTGACTCTGTAAATTGCTTAGAGAAGGCTGTAAAAGCACTATGAAGCGGTATATAAGTCTAAGTGCTATTGCTATGTGCCAATTGAAGTATAATCCTGGGGCAAAATTCCAGCAAAAGAATAGACATTCAAAGAGGAACTCAAGCCTAATAAGGAGGCTGTGTAGCTGGTTGCTAACACCAACACAGAGAAAAAGTAGCTTTGTTCTGTGTAAGGAGGCAGATAGTTGGGTGTGCCATTGACTTATCCTATAGTAGCATCTGAGGGGTCTTTGGGGCAAAAATCTTTCCTTCTCGCTTAGTTGCCCCTCTTCCATCAAAAGAAAGGAACCCAATGGTTCCCAATATTTCTGCTGGACTCTGGCACTGGGTTCTACTCTCCTGTTTTACACGCTCTCTCTCTCTCTCTCCACTGTGGTTTAAAGGAATACTTATTGTCAGATATTTCTTCTTCTTCTCCTCCTCTTCCTCCTCCTCCTTCTTTTTTCCTCCTCTTCCTTCTCCTTCTCCTCCTCCTCCTCCTTCTCCTCCTCCTTCTTCTCTCCTCCTCCTCCTCCTCCTTCTTTTTTCTCCTCCTTCCTTCTCCTCCTCCTCCCTTCTCCTCCTCCTCCTTCTCCTTTCTCCTCCTCCTTCTCCTCCTCCTTCTTCTCCTCCTCCTTCTTCTCCTCTTCCTCCTTCTCCTCCTGCTTCTTTCTCGTCCTCCTTCTCCTCCTCCTTCTCCTCCTCCTCCTTCTCTTCTTCCTTCTTCTTTGCCTTCTTCTCCTCTTCCTCCTCCTCCTCCTCCTGCTTCTTTTTCTTGTCCTCCTCCTCCTCTTTCCTCCTCCTCCTCCTCCTGCTTCTTTTTCTTGTCCTCCTCCTCTCCTCCTCCTCTTTTCTCCTCTCTCCTTCTCCTCCTCCTCCTCCTCCTCCTCCTCCTCCTCCTCCTCCTCCTCCTCCTTCCTCTTCTTGAGAACTGTGGGCAAGAAGTAAAGCAGAGACATATTCTTTCTGGAGCAAATTATTTCTGAAAGGTCCCTCAGTCTTGGCATCTGTGTTTCTGGGTTTACCATGGTCCCAACAGTCTTGTTGCGGTTTCTGCATCATCTGGGGGCCTCACATGTATTGCCATCAATGAAAGAAAGGCAGATACCAACCCATTCTGTGGGAAGCTTGGTTGGGATCAACAGGAACAACATTTTGAGGGGACACCCATGAGTTTGTAATCTGAAAACGTCCTACATCCTGCCTGCCCTAGCCCCAGCCCTTCCCTCTCCAAATTCCCTCATAAAAAGTTCACAGCTCTTTTGTCTTTCAACTGTGTCGCACCTAATCCAGCCCCTCTTCTACCTAGGAGGCCTACCGGCTGATCTATCGTACCTACCTCAGGGAAGGCTTCTTCAGCCTATGGCGAGGCAACTCGGCCACCATGGTTCGGGTGATCCCCTACGCTGCCATCCAGTTCTCCGCGCATGAGCAATATAAGCACCTTTTGGGCAGCTACTATGGCTTCCAGGGAAAGTAAGTTGCTATGGAGCCTCAATCTGACTCAGTCTCGGCCCCAGGGCCGGATTTAGATGAAAAGAGGCCCTAGGCTATTCCACTTATGAGGCCCTTTCACCTATAGTGAAAGTGTAATTTTAATTTTACTAACAATTTGAATGTAGGCCCCTCTTGATCTTGAGGCCCTAGGCTGAAGCCTAGTTAGCCTATAGGAAAATCCGGCCCTGCTCGGCCCTTAAAAGTCTCGACCTGAGCATGTGGGGAAGACACTGTCAAGGGCCAGAAGCTAGGAACCAGGAGAATTTTCAAAAGAGTTCAGATTTACTTCATGCTTCCTCTACACAAGAATCTGAACTCCTCGCAAGGCAAATTTGTGCCAGAGAACCGTCAACAGGACTTCAGAGGGGGATGGACTTGGGTCGTTGTGGTTTATAAATCTTGATTCATTGCTTAGCCTGATGTAGGAATCCTGCCAGCTGTACTTTTGTGGCAAGGCAACACAGCCAGAGTTTTGGAATGAACAGTGTTCAGTTTGGAAGCTCTTTTGCCCAGTCTGAGAGATGTTTAGGATCTACCGTGTTTCCCCAAAAATAAAACCGGGTCTTGTTTTAATTTTTGCTCCAAAATAACACTTTAGGGCTTATTTTCTGGTTAGGTCTTATTTTGGGGGAAATACGGTACTAAATGCATCCATCTGGCTGACAATCTTAACGGGGGCTTATTTTTTGGGGGGGGTAGGGCTTATATTATGAGCAGCCTGAAAAGTCATGCTAGGACTTATTTTCCGGTTGGGTGCTATTTTAGGGGAAAACAGGGTAGTTAGCCAACAACCAAAGAAATTCTCCTTTTCAAATATTACTTTTGTTTTAGAGCGCTCACCCCTCTGCCCAGATTTATCGCGGGCTCTCTGGCAGGGATCACAGCTGCCATGTTGACGTACCCCCTGGACCTGGTCCGTGCCCGTATGGCAGTAACACCGAAGGAAATGTAAGTAGTTAGGCAGGGACATGTGAGGTGTATTCTTTAACTATTATTGTTCCTGAAAACCTACATAGTGACAGGTTGGCGCACAAACCCTCATCCAAATGAAGACTTGCTTTGATCACTCTAGAAGCCAAGAAAGTTTTGCCAAAGTTATGACAAAAATCCTTCCACTCCAGGATTATAAGTGATTCAATAACGCATTCATCCATAAAATGGTTTGCTTGTGCATAGTTTACTTTTGGTGAACCCATAAAATATCTTGGGGATCTACTAATCACAGTGACCAAAAAAAATTTTTTGACAAGACTGTAGTGGAATGTAATCTGGATTCCCAGGAGGGCGGGATAAGGGATGCTTTTGTGGTTTACCATAATCCCCCACCTCTTGTGAGAGTACGCACAAAAGATTCAGCCTACCCCAATAGAAACGAAGATGACAAACATGGCCAACACATTTAAATTCCCCACCCTTGGGAGACTCCCTAAAATAGCGGTACATATCCCGGGACAGCCATAGATCCTTAGGACTTTCTCTGTCAACCGTCCCATTGGCATATGCAGAAAAAGAAGATCACTGTGATGGTGAACCTATGGCACGCGTGCCACAGGTGGCACACAGAGACCTCTCTGCGGGCACGCCAGCCATCGCCCCAGTCCAGCTCCACCGCGCATGCCCACCAGGGGTGGGTTCTAAATTTTTTTACTACCGGTTCTGTGGGCGTGGCTTATTTTGTGGGCATGGCTTGATGGTCATGTGACAATTCTTTAGGATTTAGCAGAAGTACTGGTCTACCAGGCTTTTAACTGCTTGCAGAGCTGTACTGGTCTACTCATTTGTTTTTGGAGGCACTGGTCTACTCATTTGTTTTTGGAGGCATCGGTCTACTCATTTGTTTTTGGAGGCACTGGTCTACTCATTTGTTTTTGGAGGCACCGGTCTACTCATTTGTTTTTGGAGGCACTGGTCTACTCATTTGTTATTGGAGGCACCAGTCTACTCATTTGTTTTTGGAGGCACCAGTCTACCCATTTGTTTTTGGAGGCACTGGTCTACTCATTTGTTTTTGGAGGCACCGGTCTACTCATTTGTTTTTGGAGGCACTGGTCTACTCATTTGTTATTGGAGGCACCAGTCTACTCATTTGTTTTTGAGGCATGGTTACTCATTTGTTTTGGAGGCACGGTCTACTCATTTGTTTTTGGAGGCACTGGTCTACTCATTTGTTTTTGGAGGCATCGGTCTACTCATTTGTTTTTTAGGCATTGGTCTATTCATTTGTTTTTGGAGGCACCGGTACCCATTTGTTTTTGGAGGCACGGTCTACTCATTTGTTTTTGGAGGCACTGGTCTACCCATTTGTTTTTGGAGGCACTGGTCTACTCATTTGTTTTTGGAGGGCACGGTCTACTCATTGTTTTTGGAGGCACTGGTTACTCATTTTGTTTTGGAGGCACCGTCTACTCATTTGTTTTTGGAGGCACCAGTCTACCCATTTGTTTTTTTGGAGGCACTGGTCTACTCATTTGTTTTTGGAGGCACCGGTCTACTCATTTGTTTTTGGAGGCACCAGTCTACTCATTTGTTTTTGGAGGCACCTGGTCTACTCATTTGTTTTTGGAGGCACCGGTCTACTCATTTGTTTTTGGAGGCACTGGTCTACCCATTTGTTTTTGGAGGCACTGGTCTACCCATTTGTTTTTGGAGGCACTGGTCTACTCAATTTGTTATTGGAGGCACCAGTCTACTCATTTGTTTTTGGAGGCACCGGTCTACCCATTTGTTTTTGGAAGCACCAGTCTACTCATTTGTTTTTGGAGGCACCGGTCTACTCATTTGTTTTTGGAGGCACTGGTCTATTCATTTGTTATTGGAGGCACCAGTCTACTCATTTGTTTTTGGAGGCACCAGTCTACCCATTTGTTTTTCGAGCGCCCTGGTCTACCACCATACTGCCTTTTAACACTGATCAGCTGTAGGGCAGCCCTTTGAAGCCCCGCGGCAAGAATTTAAACAGTTTTTTTCCTTCTAGCCGATCAGCTGGGACTTGGGAGGCAGCGAATAGATAGAATAGAATAAAAGGTAAGAATAACAGGGGGGCAGGAGGGCCCACCTCCCGAACAAAGAGAACCGGTTCGGTGATGTCATATCATCACCGCTACCGGCTCGGCCAAACCAGGCTGAACCGGAAGGAACCCACCACTGATGGCCACGCTCCTCCCGCCGGCTAGCTGGTCTTTGGGTCTCTGCCGCGGATGCAGGGGGGATGGAGCGCATGCGTGGGGGTGCTCGCATTGTATTTTGGGGGAAGGTGCGCGTGCATGTATCCCCCTGTGCCTCATTTTGGGCCTGGAAGGCCTCCTGCACCAACCTGGAAGCCAAACGGGGCACAGGAATGCCACGCAAGGCCCCCCCACGCTCCGATTTGGGCCTGGAAAGCCTCCTGAACCAACCAAAAATTGGCAGGGGGGGCACATGTGCGGAGGGCACTCGCATTGTATTTTGGAAGTTCCGGCATGCGCATTTGCGTGAGCGGGTGCGCACTTTGGGCACTTGGCACCAAAAAGGTTAACCATCCCTGTCCTAGGACATTATTTTATCAAGAGTATAACTTTACTGATAAATCCATATAGGCACACTAGAAAGCAAAGCCAGCCCTGACTTTTAGTGAGAAAAACTGCATAGATAAAATCCCCCTTTTCCCCCCCTGGGCCACCCACCGTCCAGTGTGTCCACTAATCCAGTGCCATCTCTTTGGGAAACAGCAGGGGTGAAATGTAAAATTTGTTACTACCGGTTCTGTGGGCGTGGCTTGGTGGGGGTGGTGGGGGTAATGTGACTGGATGGGCGTGGCCAACTTTTTTTTTATTTAACTTTTCAAAGCATTTTTTCTAATGCTTTGAAAAGCCTCTGCCGATCAGGATCGGGATCGTCAGAGACTTTTCAAAGCATTTTTTTTACCACCTCTTCGGCCAAAGAAGTTGCAGAAAAAAATGCTTTGAAAAGCCTCTGACGATCACAGTTGAGCCGCGCAATCATCAGAGGCTTTTTTAAAAAAAATTTTAAAAGCATTTTTTCGGAAGAGGTTGTAGAAAAAATGCTTCAAAATTTTTTTTTTAAAAAAAGCCTCTGATGATCGTGCGGCTCAGCTGGGCATGGTGGTGGTGGTGGGACGCTCAGGGATTTTTGTTACCGGTTCTCCGAACCACCCGCCGCCATCGCTACCAGATCGGGCGATCCGGTCTGAACCGGGAGCATTTCACCCCTGGGAAACAGTCTGCTTGGCTCAAAAGTTTCTCATCGTTTGACCTTGAATTGTCGAGATTGTCCCAGGCCATAGACGGTGCACATGAATTCCTTAATTCCTTCCCATACATCCCAATCATTCCTTTGCCACCCTCCCTTGTTTCTGTTGTCTGGCTGTGAGCGAAAGTGCAGAGCGAGTCGGCCTTAACATTCTCCCTGCAAACTTCTTCCTAACTTTTGTTTGATGGTGTCAGGATTCTAGTCCACAATGCAACCTATTCCATTTTTCCTTGGCAGGTACAGCAACATAATTCACGTATTTATGCGGATATCTCACGAGGAAGGATTGAAGACCCTGTACAGGGGCTTCTCACCTACCATTTTAGGGGTGATCCCTTATGCTGGATTGAGCTTCTTCACTTATGAGACACTGAAGAAGCTGCATGCAGGTAAGGACAATCAAGCCGATACTAATATATGCACGTAGTCCTCAACTTGCAACTGTTTGTCTTAGTGTCCATTCAAAATTAACAACAGCACTGGAAAAAAATTGACTTGCAACTGGTCTTTGCACTTATGGCCATCCCAGCATCCCCATAAACATGAAAACATAGTGAAGTATGCAAACCAGCATTTGCATTTCCTGCATCGGATGAGGACAGCACATCTTTCTCCTTCTGTCCTGGCCATTTTTTACAGAGGTACGATTGAGAGCGTGTTTACAAACTGTTTGGTGGCAACAGTGCCTCAGATAGAAAGTCCATACAGAGAGTGGTGAGGACAGCGGAGATTATAGGAAGCTCGCTTTCCATTGTTCAGGATACTCTTATAAACGCTATGTGCTTAGAGCTCAAAGCATTGTTAGAGACCCCACACACGCCCTTCATGGTCTGTTTCTTTTGCTCCCCTCTGGGAGGAGGTTTCGAAGTATTTCTAGCAGGACTACCAGGTTCTGTAACTTTGTTCCTTAAGCCATCCGTCTGGTAAACTCGCAAGATTCATTTTTCTTGCCATGTATATGCATATATCTGAACTAGACTGTGTTGTTTCTCTGTGTCATATAATAATATATGTGGGTATATGCATAATTTTGTATTTATTTATGTATTTTGTCATGTTTATGTAGTGTATATTGGAGGTGGTGATCCTTTGAGAACTGTATACAAGGAAATTTCATTTTAATGCATGCCAATTAGTATACATTCGAAGTGACAATAAAGTTATTCTAAGATCTAAGATAAGAACATGTGATCAAAATTTGGACACTTGGCAACTGGTTCATATTTATGACAGTTGCCGTGTCCTGGGCAAAAAAATCACTTTTTGCAACCTTCTGACAAGCAAAGTGAATGGGAAAACCAGATTCACTTAACACCTATAACACTAACCTAACAACAACAGAGGCAAGAAAGGTCGTAAAATGGGGCAAAATTCACTTAAAAAATGTCTCATTTAACAACATTGGGTTCACCAGAAGTTGGCAAACAGGCCGTTTTTGGCCTCCGTAGGGCCTCCGGGGGAAGGGGGGGAGGCCATTTTCGCCCTCCCCAGACTCCTAGAAAGACTCTGGAGCCTAGTGGGAAAAACTGGCCTACTGGGCCATTGCGTGCCAGGAGCGTGGGGGGGTGGGGTGGGAAGAGCATGGGGGGGGGGGGGTGGGGGGGGGGGGGGGGTGGGGTGCACAGGGGGGGGGGGGGGGTGCATAGAATTATGGGTGTGGGCACGCGCACGTGTGACTCACCCCCGCTTCTGGCACGTGATGGCCAAAAGGTTAGCCATCACTGCACTAAACCAAGCTGGCTCTTTATTTCTGGAGAAGCACATTCTAAGGCAGTGATGGCAAATCTTTTCGGCACCAAGTGCCAAAAAAGAAGCGCATGCGCGAAAATGGAGGAGCTGCCCAGGGCGCATGCGCATTCCCGAAAATAAACTTCCGGTTTCAGCTACTGAACTTCCGGTTTCAGCCAGCTACTCTTCCGGGTTTCATGAGCGTGCGCACGTGACAATCAGCTGGACGGCGCGTAGGAGAATGGAAAACCAGCTCTTCTAGTTTCTAGCACTGCCATATGCAAACAGGCCAGCTGATCTTTGCACATGCACACCAGAAACCTGGAAGAGGAACGGGCAACGCCACACGTGCGAGGTGACAGGGCTCCGTGTGCCACTTCGGGCACGTGTGCCATAGGTTCGCCATCACGGGTTTAGTGGTTAAGACACTAATCTGGAAACTATAGGAGTGTTCTGTCCCCGTCCCCACACACACACACAAACAGCCAGCCAGGGGTTAAAGAATTACTTGGCACACACAAGGTTCGTTATCAGGAACTTGGCAGCAATACGATAACCGTCTGCCAAGTGCTTTACTTCAAGAAGAGGGAGTTCTCCTCCAGCAGATAAACACCAACAAATACACACAGTTTTCAGTTGTCCAGCTCAAACAGAAACCTTCAGCAGATTCAGGCGTTGTACAAAGTGACTAGCCAGAAGTTAGCTTTGTCCATCACAGAGTCTAAATGGCCACCACACTCTCTTATATAGCCTGTGGGGTGTGGTCCAGTGACTCAGCTTAATCCCTGGCACGCCTCCTCATCTGCTGCAAACGTTTATCTCGCCTTCGTTGGCGTGGATCCAGGAACGACGTATCACCGTCATCGCTGTCATCGGAGACACCTGGCTCCTGGCCAATCTCCTCTCCCTCGGCAGACACCTGAGGCATTGCCAGAGAGGAGGGGCCTGGAGAGGGAGGCCTGACCGGCTCCTCTCCTTCATGTTCGGAGCCTTCTTCCTCCGATAAGATGGGCTCGGGGGTCGGAGCCACAACAAGGAGACTGTGAGTTCTAGTCCTGCCTTAGGTATGACAGACAGACAGACAGACAGACAGACAGACAGAGACAAAGACAAGCATCTGTTTGTTGTCTTTCTAAGCATCTCCACCCTGCCTCCTTTTCTTTCTGTCTCTTCTCCAGATCACAGCGGGAGGAGAGAACCCTACCCCTTGGAAAGGCTTGTGTTTGGGGCTTGTGCAGGCCTGATCGGGCAGTCGGCCTCTTACCCTCTGGACGTGGTCCGTCGACGGATGCAGACCGCAGGGGCGCTGGGCTACTCCTACGGGTCTATCTTCCTCACCATGAGGGACATCATTCGGGAAGAGGGACTCGTCCGAGGCTTGTACAAAGGGCTCAGCATGAACTGGGTCAAGGGTCCCATCGCCGTGGGCATCAGTTTCACCACCTTTGATCTCATGCAGATTCTCCTCCGAAAATGGGGACACAGCATGGACGTGCAGAGGTAACGCCAACCCTGCCGCCCAGGGGTTCCTTGCGGAGTGGGAGTGACCACCACGGTGGCGCCAGTCAGTGCTGACGAACGAGGATGGACAAATCCTCCTTTTTTTTTAAACCCCCTTCCCTTGATCCCAGATGAGATTCTCACGGTAGATCTGAATGTGACCTCGGAGAATTCGGTTTCAGACACACAGATTCCTCTAACTGCGGCCATCTCCCCTCCGGTTTCCAGATAACGAATGTGCAAAGAAATAATAGTAGAAATCAGTGCAGGATTTTCATTGTTTTTACAATGTGATCGACATACCCTGGAATTCTCCGAATAGGGGAGAAAAGGGGCCTCTTTCACTGCTAGCCTCATAACTGGAGGCAGCAGCTGATGTGGTTTTATCTGTGTCAAACATTTCCCCCCCCCCCAAACTCTTCCCATTCCCCTTTTATTTTATTTTTTAAAATTTGTCCACAACTCTCCTCGCCTATCATTTACCTCTCGGAAGTGCAGTGCCAGATTGGGGTGGGAATATTTTTCCATAGAGTTGACTTAAAAAAAGAAGGACGCTTCCTCTGGCATTTTTTTTTGGGTTGCTGGAAACCAGGAGATCTTAAATCGACAGCGTTTCAGGTTGTTACTTTCCAGAGCAGCATTTAAAATAAAGGATTTTGTGTTTTATTTTGTTTTTCAAAGAAAAAAAAAAAAAGCAGCAAGAACAACAACTACTACTACTACCAGATAGTTTTTTTCCCTTTTCCATTGGAGATGATTCTGGGGAAAACATTATCAGTGCACAGTGTTAACTGGAAACTCTTGCCGTCTTGATATGCTATCCGTTTTCATTTCTTCAGTATTATCCATATTATTTCCGCAGTAGGAAAAGCGTAGAGAATGGATGTCATAAGTGTTTGGTTGGTTGATTGGAAGGAACGTGAAGGGATTATGAGCGCCTGAGAATCTCCTCTTCCTATTTAATATTAACTTGTTGGGTTCTCAGATTGAATGAAGAGCCCTCCCCTGCTTTGTGCGTTTTTAAGATCTTGCTCGCTTGAAAATGGAGGAAACACACCTGTTGGCAAAACCGGCAGTCTCATGTTGTAGCCTCCTTCCTAAATAATATAATTTCACTACTTATTTTCCTTTTTCCTCCGTCCCTTTGCTGCTGCTTGTCAGAGTGGAGAATACCATTGTGCCATGTTAGGCAAGCTTCCTGTGGCAGCTTATATATTTCCTGCATTTAGGTCTCTCTGGATAGTTTTTTGCTGCTTTTTGCTCTTTTTCTCTTTGCCTGTTTTTCTCCTTCATTCAACTTCATTCACTTTGATTAGGGGTGGGGGAGGATAGCAACAGATTACCCCGATGTGATTCTCAAGTCCTTCCCTTCTGGCTTGGGGAACTGTGGCCCTTTTATGACTTGCGGACTTCATCTCCCAGAATTCCTGAGCCAGCATGGCTCGGCTCAGCATGGCTGGCTCAGGTATTCTGGGAGTTGAAGCCCACAAGTCATAAAAGGGCCATAGTTTCCCACTCCTGGGCTAAAGGAAGAAAGAAGGAATGGTGTATGTTACAGGAAAAAATCTGTGTCTGTTGCAAGGCTAAAAGACACTCGCTTGTGAACTGACATGGATCCTTCCCCACATTTTGTACAACAGGCTGGAAACTGACTCTGACATTTTGTGGGCCACAAAATATTTTGTGGCAATCTATACTACGCCTCTCCACACACACACACAGCATCCTAATTGTTCTTTATATGATCCTGGAAATTCTACAACTTCCCCTTGTTTGATTCTTTGCAACCTCGCTAATCGAATTGATTTCTGCAGAGGGGCTCAGAATCCAACGGAAGCTTTTGCTGTCGTAAAGCGTTTTCTGCAATTGAGATGCTGTAAGTGCCCACCCCCAGAAAGCATATTTTTTAAGAAGCAGAATCCAGAATGTGATGCGTAGGTGTTGTGCAGACAAAACATGTTGACCGTGAAGGAAGATACGTGATGAGCAGCCTCAAGGTTGCTTAGCTGCCAACGTGCACAAGTCAAATCACAAATCAATAAATGTGAAAGATGTCTCAAATTGAGACTTATTAAATATGAAATATGAAACTCAGCTCTTAGAAGAAGGCTTTTCTCCCGGTTTTAGAATTTTTTAGATTCCCTTCCCTCCCCACCCCGTCCACTGCTTAAGCTTGGTTGCCAATCTAGCTTGTGTTTTTTTTTTAAACCTGCTTTATATACTTAAACACTGCACCACTTACCTTATGGTCTTGCATAGAGCCTCTTGGCCAGAAATGTTAGACACTTATCACAAAACATCCCCTGGTCATTGTAATCAAATCAAATTCATTGGGGGTGTATTGGACATTTAGCTGGGGGAACCTGCTATAATGGGGATTTGTGGGGAGCTAAAATGGGTCTCCCTTTTGTTCCCCAATATTAACTCAGCTGGAGATCTTTACCAAGGCAAGTTCAGTGTGTTTTTCTCTTGTCTGCACATTCCTAAGGTAGAGAGTGAAAATTTGGCCAACTTTTAAGTCCTGTGGACTTCAACTCCCAGAATTCCCATGGCTGGTTGAGGAATTCTGGGAGCTGAAGTCCACAAAACTTTAAAAAGTTGCCAAATTTGAGGATCCCCGGCCTAGAGCAGAAGTGGTGAACGAAGGCCCCTTTATGACTTTTGGACTTCAACTCCCAGAACGCCTGAATTCTGCAAATTGAAGTCCACAAATCATAAAAGGGCCATCATTTCCCCACCCTTGGTCTAGAGTCGTTTTTCAAACCCGGCAACTTTAAAATGCTTGGATTTCAACTCCCAGAATTCTCCAGCCAGCATGCTGGAGTCCACACATCTTAAAATCGCCCAGTTTGAAAAACACCGCTCTAGAGTAAGAATAGTTCAAGGGCAGGTTGGTCTTCCCTACTTGGATCCTAGCCAGGGTTTTCCTTGGTCTAATAATAATAATAATTCGAAAAGGTCAATACAAGCCGGGCGGCCCTAAACGGCACCTTTCCTGTCGCTGCCAACCTTCCTGAGCTGAGCAAGGTGATTTTTTAGCAAACCCTCAATGCTGTTTTTCCAGGGTTAACAGGTCAGTTAGTTGACTGGAGTCTTTGCTGTAATTTGAATGTGCCTTTAAAAGGTGCTGTGTTGGCCTCCAAACACAACAGGAGTGTTCTTGTAGGACAAGGGGAACTATTTTTTTGACAAGTGAATCAGTGGGGAAACAGGATCCCTTTCCTTGCAGGGGTTCCTAGCTTTTTACCCTTACAGAGCTCTTCTCCAGGGATTGTCTGGAGAAGCCACCCTTGATGTAGGAAAATCTGTGGTGCGTTCCAGGCAGGGCTGTTCCTCGTAGCTTTGTGCAAACGGAGTATACGATTGCAAAGCCACCCACAACATGTTTCCCCTGAGAGGGTTGTGGGCCCACAAGCAGCGTTTTGAAGGAAAGTGAGCTAGCCACTCAAGTATTTGGCACCACCGCACAGTCAAGTATTATAAAGGGTGACTTTGGAGAGCTACCCCAGCCTTGGGGGGAACGACGGTGTTAATATGGCGCGACGCATTTGTGTAGAATGTTGAACGCAACGGCCTCAGCTGACGAGAGGTTCTCCTCTGCATTGTGGCTTTTTATCTGGCCAACGATGCTTTTGTTTTATATAGATGTTTATAGTGACAAAATTATAAAGATCTGTGCCAAGGGAGGAGGTATATTTAATAATAAAAATGAATTATCCAGTTCGTGGTGTATGTTGTGTCTTTCTTTTTTGTCTAATTGTATAGAATTAGATGGCATTATTAATACAAGTATCCCCAAACCTTTTTGATGACCCTGGCTATTAAAAGAATAACAGAGTTGGATGGGACCTTAGAGATCTTCTAGTCCAACCCTCTGCTCAAGCAGGAAACCCTATATCTGTGATGGCTAACCTTTTTGCCGTCGTGTGCCAAAAGCGGGGGGCCGCGGGGGGGTCGCAGGTACGTGTGCCCACATCCATAATTCAATGTGCATGCGCACGTGACCCCCTCCCCACAATTCCCCCTGCTTTTGGCACGCAATGGCACAGTAGGCCCGTTTTTCCCCCTCCCCAGGCTCCAGAGGCTTTCTAGGAGCCTGGGGAGGGCAAAAACAGCCTTCCCCAACTCCCCAGAGGCCTTCAGGAGGCCAGAAACAGCCAGTTTCCCAACTTCCGGTGGGACCGGAAGGCCTGTAAATCAGTTGGCCGGTGCGCGCATGCGCGCTGGAGCTGAGCTAGGGCAACACTCGCGTGCCCACCAATATGGCTCTGTGTGCCACCTGTGGCACCCATGCCATAGGTTCGCCATCACAGCCCTATATCCATGATGGCGAACCTATGGCACACGTGCCACAGGTGGCATGCAAAGCCATATCGGTGAGCACGCGAGCATTGCCCTACCTCAGCTGCAGCACACATGCGCACACCGTCCAGCTGATTTTCGGGCCTTCCGGGCCCACCGGAAGTTGGGAAACAGGCTGTTTCCAGCCTCTGGGGGGTGGGGAAGGCCATTTTCGCCCTCCCCAGGCTCCTAAAAAGCCCTGGAGCCTGGGGAGAGCCAAAAACGGGCCTACCGGGCCCACCATATGCCAAAAGCAGGCGGAGCGCAGTGGGGGGGGGATCACAAGTACATGCATGGGGGGCAGGGCACATTGAATTATGGGTATGGGTATGTGTGTGCGTGACCCCGTTTTTGGCACACAATGGCAAAAAGATTAGCCATCACGGCATTATCATTTCAGACAAATGGCTGTCCAATTTCTTCCTTAAAAGCCTCCAGTGATGGAGCATCCACAACTTCTGGAGACAAGTCATTCCATTGATTAATTGTTCTCACTATTGGGAAATTTCTCCTTATTTCTAGGTTGGTTCCCTCCTTAGTTTCCTTCCATTGCTTCTTGTTCTGCCTATTGAAAGGGGGCACGCCAAAAACTCTTCCTTCCCCAGTGGGTGACGATACTCCACCAATTCATAGCTGAATTATTGATCGGCTCCACACAATGTGTTAAACCATAAATGCAAGTAATCCTCAACGTATGTTCATAATGGAACCTGCCCATTGCGGTCATATATCGTGACAGTTGTAAAAAAGGTGACCGCCCTGATTTTACAACTTTTTTTTGCAGTGGTCAACAAGCGAATGCAGCAGTCATAAAACAAACACAACAAATCTGACAGCTGTTGCTAGGGGGACCTTTGCACAGGTTCGCCTGGCGCACCAATTGCGACCCTACTTGGATCAGGAGGCTCTCCTCACAGTCACTCATGCCCTTGTCACCTCGCGGTTAGATTATGGCAACACGCTCTACATGGGGCTACCCTTGAAAAGTGTTTGGAACTACAGTTGGTCCAGAATGCAGCCGCGTGAGCTGTCGTGGGTGCACCTAGGTACACCCACATTACAACAATTCTCCGCGAGCTGCACTGGCTTCCTATTGGTCTCTGGTCATAATTCAAGGTGTTGGTTATTACCTTTAAAACCCTACATGGCTCAGGGCCAGGCTATCTTCGAGACCGCCTACTACCGCATAGCTCCCAGCGACTGGTAAGATCCCACAGAGTTGGTCTCCTCCGGATCCCGTCAGCTAAACAGTGCCGGCTGGCGAGCCCGCAGGGGAGGGCCTTCTCTGTGGCTGCCCCAGCTCTCTGGAACTAGTTACCTCCTGAGATCCGGACCATCTCCACCCTATTGGCCTTCCGGAAAGCGGTGAAGACCTGGCTTTTCCGGCAGGCCTGGGGCCGTTGATCTTGCTGTTGCGATTTGGCGAGATCCGGCCATGAATGGTGTGAATGAGTTTTAATTGTTTTTAATGTTTTAATTTTTAATGTTTTTATATATGGTTTTTAAATGCATTGTAAGTCGCCTTGAGTCTTTGGAGAAAGGTGGCATACAAGTTGAATGAATGAATGAATGAATGAATGAATGAATGAATGAATGAATGAATGAACAAACACCGCAGTCATTAAACGAATGCCACTTTCATTAAGTGCACCCATTCTTCGTTCTGGCATGGCTTTGCTGAAAACTGGAAGTAACCTCTCGTTTTCACAAAATTCTTATAAAATGCAGTCATGTGGCTGAGCACTCTGTAGGTCATAACTTTGCAGGGATGCTAAGCGATTGGTTGTAAGTCGAGGACTAGCTTTATGTTCTGTCTGTTGAACGTGGCATGTAAAGCAGGCCCAATCATTTGTGGCTTACTCAGTGACCAAAATTAAGCAAGCCACACAATCATCCTTCAGCTACAGTTCTCTCCAATTATCCCAAAGGTGCTTTTTTCCAGAGGCAACTGGACTTCAGTTTCACTTCACATCCAAGAAGCTTCTTCAGTTCGAAACGTCTTCAAGAAAAAACAAAGGAAGTCCAGTTGCCTCTTGAAAAAGCACCTTTGGGACAATCACGACCTGGATGACCGAGAATCTCTCTAGACTTTCTCTCCCATTAGATTTGTCTCTCTGGATCCATGGCAGGGGCGTCAAAACTCAAGGCCCGGGGGCTGGATCCAGCACGCGGGGTGCTTAGATCTGGCCCAGGGGGCTGCCCTGGAAACAACGGATTGGCCCGCGGTGCCTCTGCCAGCTAAAAGGGACCTCGGGAGGGCCGCATTCGGCTCTCCTGAGCTCCACTTTTGTTGGCAGAGGGTTGCAGGAGGCCATGGCAGCTAGAAATGCAACTCGGGAGCCCGTTTTCGCTGGCAGAGCGCTCTGGCCGCCACAGGCGTCTCTGACACGAGTGATGGGTTGGCCACGCCCACCTACCCATACAACCAGAGGCGGGATTCACTTAGCTTCCCTACTGGTTCGCAAATGTGAGTGCGCCCCTTCCATGCATGCTCTTTGTTTGCGTGCACGCCTTCCGCACATGTGTGCGACCTCCAAAACGTGGCAAAATAGGACGGCATTACATCCAGGGAGGAGGGCAGGGCCTACCACAATCGCCGCTACCGATTCATACAAACCGGCTGAATCCCACCACTGCCTACAACCCTAATGTAGCTCTCAATGAAATTGAGTTTGACACCCCCGATCCATGGCGTGCGAATCATACTAGGTTTTGGCTTCAAATAGCTCTCCTCTCCTCCATGGGTTTTAATTCCTGGCTTAAATTCAGATATAATATTAGGCTTAACCGTCTCATAACCAACGGTGGCAACTTGGCTGATCCTGGAAGCTAAGTGGGACTTGGTCAGAATTTAGATGAATGACCTCTAGGGAAATTGCAGGGCTGGACTTTAACTGGGAAGTTAAAAAGAAGAAAAACCCAAGAGAAGGTGATCCTTGACAATTTCTGTATTTCTTGGAGGTGTCACCACGGAGTCAAATATAACTAGGGATGTGCTCTTTAGGGTCTGATCATGCCGTGGTTTAAGCCCCTTGTGTGAAACAAACTACGACGTTCTTCTGAACCTCAGGCTACAGATAGACCTCGACTTATGACCGCAGCTGATCCCCCATATTTCTATTGCTAAGCAAAGCAGTTAAGCAAATTATGCCTTAATGTTGTGATCTTTTTTTGCCACAGTTGTTAAGTTCATCTCTGAAGTGGTTCAGTGAATCATGCAGTCGTTAAGCGAATTTGGCTTCCCCCATTGACTTTTGCTTGTCAGAACCTGGCTGGGAAGGTCACAAATGGTGATCAGGTGATCAGGTTGACTTTGGGCCAATCACCAGGAGTCAGTGAATTCTAGTCGCGCCTTAGCTATGAAAGCCGGCTGGTTGACTTTGGGCCAATCACCAGGAGACCGTGAGTTCTAGTCCTACCTTAGCCATGAAAGCCAGGTGGGTGACTTTGGGCCAATCACCAGGAGACCGTGAGTTCTAGTCCTACCTTAGGCCTAAAAGCCGGCTGGGTGACCTTGGGCTGGTTCTTCTCTCTCAGCCCAACCTACCTCACAGGATTGTTGTGGGGAAAATAGGAGGATGAAGGAGTATTGGGTATGTTCGCTGCCTTAAAATATACAAATAATAAAGGCTGAAGGTTTTTTTTTTTTTTTTAAATCTAACCTCTGGAAAAAAAATGGCTAAGCAAAGGAGACGTGAAAGGTAATGCCGTTGTCCAAATTTCAACCTTGCTCCTGAATGTTTTTAAGCCATTAAGAACTGGAAAAAAAACTTTTTTTTAATCAAAGCTGATCAGAACATTCCTTTTTTTAACCTCTTTTGGGATAGTGTGCAAGATGTGTATCCAGTCCACTGTGATTGGTCTAAAAAAAAAATAGTACTTGAATCCGGCTGGTTTCTTCTCAGAGATGTCACAAGAAAGCCTCTCCTCAAGGATGACAACCCGGCTATCAAATTGCAAACCCTCAAGAGAAATCCATATTCTGGCACTTAAACACACTCTGGACCCAAAATGTCTCACTCCTAGAGCCAAAGGAGAGCTGCTCACTTAGGACACAGCCAAGTGCTGATGGAAATAGAGGCCAAAGAAGACGGAAACGACTTGGCAGGCCGCAATCCACCAGACGTAGAAAGAGAACAGCCCCCGGTAGAAAAGAGGAGTGAAGACGGTGCCTAAGGCACTAAGAGATGCGGTGATCTGTTCTACTGCGGCCTGGATATCTTCTTTCCCAGAGTCCTCGGAGGGGGCGGCCTGGTGAACCAGAATGGCATCAGGCGCTGGAGATGTTAGTGCAGGCTCAGGATAAAGTCCCCAGGAATATTCACCTTTTGGGGAGAGAAAGGAATAGGGGAGAGGTTACATGCACCAAAATTCTTTTATCA